CCAACAAAATGGCTTCCGATTCTATATTGACTGGTTCCCGTGGAGCTAATGGGCCAATCAAAAACAAAAAAAAAATGGCCGTCACAACCGTTCTCCTCGTGAAGTGCCTCGATGCCTGTCAAGCTGATATTGGATGCTTTTGGATATTGGCTCATCCGAAAAAATGGCGGTCACCCCTGTGTCTGGGCAAGCGTACGCCGCGAAGTACACTAATCGTGTCACTTGCCCTCCCGATATACTTTTTACCGTCTACACCTTATAGTATTAAAGAACATGTAGTATTCACCAGCGTAACTGCGTCAAAATATGCAATGTTTCATGACGATATGAAGTAAAGGTCTAATGAAGTATAATATTTTTTTTTTGTGTAACTTATGTAAAAACACAGATTTTATAAAATTGTACAGTGTTTTTTTTTTTTGTTTTCTTTTTGTTATGTCTTTAAACTACTCACGGTTTTTTTTTTTTGCTTTTGGTTCTGTTATATCTACATTTAAGAAATATGCCTTTATGAATGTATTCTGTATTTTAATTTTAGTATTAAAGGATGTTGCTACAATATGGTTTTTGTCACAGAATTATGTCATCGCAGTTCGGGGCGGACTGATATTTGGGGAGGGGGGCGGGATTCATGGTGCTTGGAGGGTTTGGCTTCATCTAAAGTCCTCAATCTCTTTTCTAAATTATTTTGCAGACTCTGTTATAAATGAATAGAAAAATACAGAGGCTTCCCATTCATTCAGAAAATATTTACTATCACCAGGTTCTGAATGGGGAGAAGCCTCTGTACGGAGTGCTACTACCTATTCAGAAACTCGTGAATGAAGAGGAAGTGATGTAAAGCACTTCCTGTTCATTCATAACTGGGGACACATAGTACTATGTGTCCCCAGTCATTGACAAACACTGGAGGGATCAGCTGATCGCTCCAGTCTTTGATCTGCTCACAGAGGATTGATATTTACGATCCTCCCGCTCTCCATCCTGAGACGCTCTGCACAGCCTGCAGCTTCTCTGATCCCTGCTGCTCTCCCTTGCCTTTATGGGCAGATGCAGCGGGGATCCGGGGAGAAGTGAAGTGCTGCAGCCGGTGGGCGGGGGGGGGCAGAGGAGGGAGCCGCTGTCACAGCAGCATGGCCCAGTGGTGAGGACGCCGGCAGAGAGAGGAGGGGACGTTCACCGGGCAGGATAAGGTATGCCGTCGGGTCTCCTCATCTCTCCTGCAACTGTCGGGCTCTCTGTCCATGAGTGAGTGCCTGACTTTTCAGAGGGGGGTGACGCCAAAATGACTGTCAGTCCTTTTGGTGTCACCCGGGTTCGGGCCACAGCCCCCTTGTGAGGCCACTGCCTCAACGTATTGGGACAAAAAAAATACACGCACTACATTTGGGCAAGGTAACGCACAACAATGCGCTGAGCATTCACATCAGTGTGCTTGAGCATCACCTTCTGAATGATTGGCAATGCACCTATATATCTCATTAATCTGCATTGCAGTAACATGCATAATAAAATGATGCGGCACATAGATGTGGAGCCGGTCTACGGCAGCCATGCTTAAATTGCTGTCTCTGATAACAGAGCACTAACTCACCTACTTGTCCCGAATAACTGCTACTGGGATCCCATTCCTAATTTATCTGACATTGACAATGCCGGCATGGTGAGCGCGTTCCTGCAGAAAATTGTGAATACAATGTTTTCCAGCACGTTGGAAACTCTACATGTGCCATCACTACGGCTTCCAACAGCTGAGCCACATAGGCATCTGCATCCCCTAGCAGACTTTTTACGGCCACCATTACTATATTGATTTGGTCGTATCCCGAGAAGTGAACACCAGCTGAAGCGGGATAACATCATCCGCTGACTATGCCTGCCATTTGGCTGCTATTGTGGAAAGTGCAGATTGGCAATGCAACTGTCTTGCTGCTCTGTACTGCTTTTCTTGGAGGGAGGTGTGTGTTTAGAAGGGGTGGGGGCGAGGACGGAGACCTGCGTTATGGCAGAAGATAATAAGACTAGTTTAAAAAAGCAAGGGGAAAAGGGTTTGCCTATAGCAGCCAATCAGATGCCAGCTTTCATTGTTCATCATGCAAAAAGAAATTGGCAGCTGGGATTTGGCCACAATGGGTGACATCCATCACACTAGTTTTATATGGGGGGCCCCAGTGAAAAGAGAACTTCAAACGCTAATCCTACTGGAAAGAATACACAAACGGGGGGCGCCTTCCCTAGTGTAGATACATTTATTAAAGTTTAAAACAATTTAACGAGAGTAGTACTCACAAAGGTGGATACAAATAGAGCCAGCCATGACAGAGAATGGAACTCTAACATCAGACCAGGATAAAAGCAAGTGACGGCTGCACAGACGTTCCTGCGTGCCAGCAAGGGATGCCTGTGATGATGCGTTTCCGTGGTCACGCCCCCTTCAGAATCAAAGATGGAAGGCTCTATTTTTATCCACCTTTTGTGAGTACTACTCTCATTCATTGTTTTAAACTTGAATAAATGTATCTACACTAGGGAAGGCGCCCCCTGTTTGTGTTTTCTTTCTAGATCTTACAGCCTCCCTGGCTGGAGTGGGACAGCAACCTGTAGAATCTTTAATCGTTAACCCTCCGGTTGAGCGGTCCTTTCTGGCGCTTTTTGTTTTCATTTACTAATCCTGCTGGGCCTTATGTGTCACTGGTAACCAGGACTGTCTGTGTTACCTTTATAGCAGGGGGTAACTAAACTTTGGCCCTCCTGCTATGGTAAAGCTACAAATCCCATCCTGCATCTGCTTCTGGAAGTCATGTCTGTGGCTGTCAGAATCTTGCAATACCTTATGGGACCAAAGGGCTGAAGTCTGGATACCTCGGCCCTCTAGAGAGTAGAGACCATTTAGGTTTAAAGCTGAACCAGTATACGCAAATACAAGAGCCATGTGTATTCTTCCTTCAATCTTGGAGTGGCTTGTGCATTTCTTCCAGGTCTGTGCAGCAGTTCAGAATGAAACTGGAGCTTCCTGTGATAAAGACCGGTAACTGCTGTTCTCTCTCCGTGTGCAGGGTGACTGGTCTTGTCTGCGCCCCCTTCTGTAATAAAGACCTGTCACTGCACTCACTCCTTGTACAGGGTCACTGGTCTTGTCTCCGCCCCCTCCTGTAATAAAGACCTGTCACTGCTCTCTCTCCTTGTACAGGGTCACTGGTCTTGTCTCCGCCCCCTCATGTAATAAAGACCGGTCACTGCTGCTCTTTCTCCTCGTGCAAGTTGATTGGTCTTGTCTCTTCCCTTCCTGTAATAAAGACCAGTCACTGCTGCTCTCTCCTTGTGCAGGGTGACTGGTCTTGTCTCCGCCCCCTCCTGTAATAAAGACCTGTCACTGCGCTCCCTCCTTGTACAGGGTCACTGGTCTTGTCTCCGCCCCTCCTATAATAAAGACCTGTCCCTGCTCTCTCTCCTTGTACAGGGTCACTGGTCTTGTCTCCTCCCCCTCCTGTAATAAAGACTGCTCACTGCTGCTCTCTCTCCTTGTGCAGGGTGACTGGACTTGTCTCCGCCCCCCCCCCCAATTTACTTTAAATCTCTTGTATTGTGCAATATGGCCAGCTTACTTCCTGCCCTATTGATGCCTCGCAGGGTACAATAGTTGATGCCGTTCTGTTTTCAAAGAATTCACAAGATATTTTAACAAATTTGTTCCTGGACACGGATGATCGGCCGGCTGTGCCACCTCTAGCTCTAAATGTCATTACAGAAAAGTACATGGAAACTAATTACAGCGCTGTGACACGACGACGCAGAATACATTGCAGAGGTGAGTCACGGTGACTCCGAGCTTCCAGCCTGGAAATCTTTTCCACTTTACATT